TTTAAAGTTGATTACTAATTGATTTGTCAAATTAAAAGTAATAGGAAATATATAAAAGACTACAAAGCTTTAAATGACCTCTATATATATATCACAGTATTGGTATTGTACTCAAATTAAAATTTGTATCAGGTTAAAATTTAAAGTTTTATTATAATTAGAATAAAAGGTTATTTTAGATAAAAGTAGATATTAGTAGAGTTATAGTTATTTTAGATAAGAGTAAATATTAGGAGATTATAGTTATTTTAATTTGACGTAGTTATTAATTTGATACATAATGTATATATTCATACCTGCTTCGTTTTTTTTGTGTAATCCAACTTAGAATTGAAAATATTCTTTCACAGCTTGCACTATGTGGAGTAATTGCTAATAAATATAATGCAAGTTTTTGTAACGGATGACTTTTAAATTTACATCCATTCCACCAGGTTTGTGAAGTTTCAATTCCTTTCACAAAAGTATAATTATATGGTGGTTCAAATGCATCATACATTTTAATTTGTGCTACAAGTGTATTTGCACCTGATAATTCACCACCAATTTTTTTCCAGATTTCAAGTGCTATTTGCAAAATTTGATGAAATATTGAATTTTTCATACCTTTTCCTCGATATTTTGGATGAAGAAAATATGCTAAGAGATAAAATTTTATATCAAATTCTTTTCAACGTTTGTTATAAAATTGAATACATTGTTTGCGAAATTCTATACGTTCTGTTAAATCATCTTTTTTAAGCATATTAATAGCTGCTGCTATTTGAATAAGAAATAAAAAAATATCAGCAGTTGTTGTAGTTTTAGATTCAACTATTTTAACTGCATTTTTGGCAGGAGATAAAACTTTTACTAAAGCTTCAGTATTAGCCCAAAACTCCCAAAACTGCCGATCTTGTATAAAATTTTGTAATTCATGTGGTAAAATAAACTCATCATTTTCTAAAACCTAAATATAATTTAGTTAGTATATTATGAAAATAAATATTACTGTATAAAAAAATTAAAAATTTTATTATAATACTTTAATAATAATTACAGTCAACTCTGGATATAATGAACTCTGGATATAACAAACTCAATATTTTTAAAATTTAATATTAGTTTAATATAATAAAAGCTGCAGCTCTTAAGAAACCATAGTAATTCTATATAATGAACTTTTTTTTAGCCAGAATCTAAGTTCGTTATAGAAAGAGTTGACTGTATATACATACTTGTTTAAGACAAATTTCCAAATTTAGAACTGATTTTACACAATAATATGCAGATAACCATCGTAAACAAACCGAATTTTTTAACCCTCTTATTTATCATTGAGTTAACTATTTCATTGCGTAAAATTGCTCCAGCATGATGTGATGCATAAAAATATGTTACAAAAGATTGACATTGCTTTAATACTTTTTTTCCAAATGATTAACTGAATATGGTGTGCAATATATCGAATTGGTAATATTCTAGGATATTTATTTGAAATATATTGTTTTGCAAGTGACATTGCTGAAGCTCCATCAGTTACAATAGCACCGAACTTATCAGCACCAATATCTACTAAAACTTTTTCAATTTTATCAGCTGTAAATATTGCAGTGTGCGATTTATGAGAATAATCTTTAATTGAATATATATATTGCTTTTTATTAGATTTTATAATTATAAAAGCAAAATAGGAATATTCACGATTGCTTGTCCAACTATCCAAGGCTAATAATATATAATATTAAATTAATAAATATTAAAATAAATAATAATAAATAATGAGAATGCTTATTTTTACCATAAAAATTTACTATTTTTAATATATTTTCACATAATGAATATATTGTTATGATAAATTATAGCAAATAGTAAAAATAATAAATTTACAAATTAAAAAAGATGTTTTCTAAATAATAAATAATACCTAAGGTAAGATTCTTTTCTTTTTGAAGTTCTTTTTCAATAGCAACTGTAATACGTGCAGTTTCACAGTTAAGCCAATCATTACTCAAAGCTTTTCGACTAGGTGGCTTATATGAAGCACATAAATTTTGGCAAAAATCAAGAAAAAAAGGACTTTCAATGATCCAAAAAGGAATTCCACAACAGACAAAAAATCGAGTTAGTGCTTTATGACATAATTGCTCTTGTCTAGGATCCATTACACTAATACTTTAAAATTTACTATCAATTCGTGGTTGTGAACCACTAACAATCTCATATACAGTCTTTTTTCTTTTAGTTAGTACTGGAAAGTTTCGTAAACAGTCTTGTTTAATTTCAAGTGGACACTTTGACAAATCAGACCTAAATATGTGTTTATATTCAAATCTGATGCACGTAAATTTTTTTCATTACAATAGTTACATTTCCAACCTCTGTGACCACCTTCTTGATTGTAATTTCCATAAAATGATTAGTCCAAAGTAGGTTTTTAGATCGCCCTCTTTTATTTTTCTTATTAGCATAAGTCGAATGGTCTGATTGTTCAGTTTCTAATAGTGAATTTACTGTGCTAGAACCTGAATCCTCCATAATTTAGATCATAAACGAAAAAAATATCATTATAAGTACAAGAGATTTATATTATTACTTATATTTTAATATATATGATAGAAGAAGAACCGGTTATGTTAAACAGGTTTGTTATAAATAAAGCATTATAAGTTAATAAACTTTAAGAAACTTTAAATTCAGGTTAAATATTCAATCTATCGTTATTATTTTAACTTTATTAAATACGTATTTAATTTAATAATATTAACATTAAAGGTATAGTAAAAACCTTTAAAGTTTATGCCATAACTAGTTATGATAGTCATGGTTTAAGCCACAACAGTTTCTAGTGTGTCTTTTTTCTGGTATGATAAGAAAGATAATAAGCAGATATGAATTTAATGCCAAATTAGTAAAAAAAAAAAATACTTAACATTCAAGGTGCAGTAACACATACATAGTGTTGGCAGATGAAACTATTTTTGGCAAATGATGAAAGACGAAACCAAACCTGACGAAACACAAAACCTGGTGAAACTCTGGTGAAATAGCAAAACTCTGGTGAAACCTCTGGTAAATTGAAACTCTGGGAAAAGTCAAAATTTGTCGAAGACCAAGCCCTCTAAAACTTTAGAAAAGATTGAGCCATGTTAGTAAATCAAAATATTTTGCATGTGGCTATTA